TTCGCAGTGAGCCACTTAATATGTTTAGGAAAAAAGGTAAATTAAATTGGTTGTTTTCAAACGGGTGAGTTGAAAAATAACAGAAATCATTGCAAAACTTGATGAGAACAGCTGTTGTGCTGATCCTTTTCCAAGGTGAAATGTGTTATGAAGACGCTTTTAATAAGATTACATTTGTTATAAAATTATCGAATTATTCAGAATTTCAAGTGTTCAGACTGGTGAGTTTTTGGTGTTTTAGGCTTCAATAGTGGCGAAAATCTTTTTTTTCTTGGTGCTATGGGCTTTTGGTCTGTCGGAGTTTCGCGCGCTATTTAATTTTCCCTTAAAATACACTTAAAACAAAGTAGTTACAGTGAAAAAAAAATGTGATCGTCCAAGAATCATGCCAGAAAATTAAATAGAAACATTCATATTTACGATAAACTTTGTGCAGCGCTGTCAGACTGCACATAAAGTTATTGGAATAGTATACTTTCGTGTAAGTACTGTAAATGTTTGAAGTAAAACAAGAAAAAACAAAAAATCTGGAGGGACTCACACAACACGATCAACGCAGGCACAATTTTGTGTGTCAAATTATCGATTGTTAGTTCTTAAAACAACTTAACAGTACCCGACACTAGGCGATCTCATTTTCAATGATAAATAGGTACTTATCGGCTCGTTTGAACAACGCTTACACTGTTCGAGCAAGCCACTTCTGAAGATGCAAGTCGCTCGTGCTTGCGAAACGTCAGGAAGAAATTCTACCGAACGACGGCCTAAAAACCCGAAAAACTCATTAGTTTCAAGGAATGGCCTCGAAAGTATATCTCTTTTGATAATATTTTCAAGCGTGTGTTTTTTTGCAAGTTTATGGCGATCCGCATTTTTTTACTGAGGCGGTTTTATTTTTCTTGTACTTTACAAAAATTAAAAAGAACGCCAAACTCAGACAGACAAAAAGTAGATGAGCACCCAAATCAATTCATGTTTTCCTTAGTTCTCCTCTGCCACAATTAAACAGCAAAATGAAGATTTGCTGGGCGTTTTTGAGGACTTTCAAAGCACAGAGTGCGGCACACACTCAAACAGATGTTGTGAACAAGTTTTGGTTTAATTAGAGACTCATCCAAGATCACTTGGCGTAGAATGAGTTAATATGAATGAGTGAGAATAAAATTGAGATGGAATTTTCTATAAATCTCAGTAGATCAGACACAGTGGAAGAAAAGGTTCTGCAAATTGATAAACGAGATCTGCAAAAAGTGCAACCCTGCAAAGCGAAGCCAATTTCAATTACCCGCCTTAGCAACTGAATACTTACAAAAAAGTGCAGAAACCAAGCCATTATCTAAGCAATCCGAGCATAAAACTGTGTAAACGATGCTAGCAATTCCAGCAGCAACGCGAGTCGTCGGCCTGCCTCAACATTGACCTCTAAGAAACCAGTCTTGGGTTGGTGCACAGAATTTATTAATTGTCACTAATAAAACTATCAGCAATTAGCACTTTTTACACGCGAACTAACCGGGTTAGCGCTCGCACTAGAACTGAACTGGAATTAATAACTCATATAGCGACTACCTATCTGTACTGGTTACCGCTGAAAGACTGCAAAAGAGACCCGTTGCTTAATTTAGTTTACATATTGAAGTGGCCGATTAAAATACATTCATTCGGTGCAATATCGACGAAGGAAATGTCGATGTCTTCTGCATTTCACTCAAACACGATGCTCTTCAGGAAAAAGTCATACTGAATTGAGGCTATCCAAGCACTTACAGCCAGTATATCAAGCGACGTGTGCATATGGCATGCATTTTCCAAAGAATCCGCTAAGTTTAACTTGTTAACCCCTCCATATGAAATGTGAATGTTTTCGATCACATCTGATGGCGTGTATGGGGAATGAGTCACAAAAGTGAATCAGAAACGAATGGATAGAAGGCGAACCGCAAAACCAGCCAATATAAGAAATTATCTCAATTTAAAGAAATCTGCTTTGTCACCGAAATTACTTAAGTTCGTTAAGTTGAGCAGGAAAACCGTTTGCAAATATGGAAAGCTCACGTTTACTCGAAGTGGCTCTATTGGAAAAACAAGCCAACGTAGCTCTAACAATTTGCACACCGCAGAAAATGGTTTCAAATAAATTCATAAGGATACTTTTGGCTGTTGCGTTCCACATCTTCATTTTGGAGCCTCTCTCGGGACAATTCTGGTAAACTTTATAATCGACATTATCAGCCTATCGAAGAGAAAAAACAATTGTATTAAACGGCTCAATTAGATTGCGCTAAAAGCAATGTCAAAAGTGTCAACAATTTTCCAGCTTAAAACAGTTCGACTGAGTACAATTTTATTTCGGAAAACGAGCGCTTTGACCAAAATTTGGAACCTTGATGGTGATCGTGTGGTTGAGACACGCCGACTTTTCAGTTTTTTTCGTGTTTGACTTTAAAGAACACTTTCAGTGAAAAAAATTCCTGGATGGTCCATAAATTCAGCCAAAAACACTCGCAAAGTTTGAGGCAAATCACCATTTTCAGGCTAAATTTCTAGCGGTATTGCCAAACGGAGCAACACGTTTTAAGTTCATGACAATTGTTTCCTTGGTCGTCGAGTTTCCATAAAGTTTTTCTCAGGCCCATGGTTAAAGAGATACAGGGTGTTAAAGTTTCAAAAAAAAATTTTATTTTCTCTTTAACTCCTTTTTTTTCTTTAATTATTTGCACAAATCTAAGTTCATGTAGGGTTCCTGGGTGATTTTCCATGAATTTTGTTATAATTTTTTTGCGTCCTTTTGTTCACATTTTTTTGTGAAATAAATTAATTTCATAAAAAATTGAAATATTCGTTACATTTTTGTTTATTTGTATTTAAATCAGCTTACAGCCGATAAACCTCTATTAATGTAAATTAAATTAAAGTAAAAAATAATTAATTTTAAAGTTAACTCGCCTATTTTAACTTCAACTTGCACTTGAAGCTTTCACAGAAAAATGTGAACAAAAGGACACAAAAATATATTTTTTTTAAATCATAGAAAATCACCCAGAAACCCTACATGGACTTATATTTGTGCAAATAACTCGAATACGAAAAAACTGCAAGAGATCAGCAAATTCGTAAATTAAACAGCAAATGCAAAAATGTGTTCGATCAAAGTCAGTGGCGCACCACAAAAAAGTTCAGGGGGTAAAAGGGGGTATGCCTCTAGAAAAGAGAACACCCTGTAGATTTTCACAACCAGTCGCCTTACGTACGGGTAAAGGGTCTAAACGCTAGCCTATGTTAAAAATTTGAGCAAAATATCTCATAAACTGTAGAAGTTGAAGAGAAAACACCAACATTTTTCTGAAACTTGAACAAACTGTATTTTGTTAACCATAGGCCTGAGAAAAAACTTAAATGGAAACTCGATTTGTTTTGACGCCCTCTACACGCCCCTATCTGTGTCCATAAGGTTGCGAATCACCCTGTATTTTTTCGGTTCATTAAAAAAATCACTTCAACCATGCTAACACAAACAAACTACATAACTCAAAATTAACCGACGGGAAAACAACTCAAAAATCCGTGGCAACACCGCATTTTGTTGAAATCCCGAAAGGGGCAAATAATCCACCAGCTGACTATCGACGCGCTAGATAACCTCAATCAATGGACAAAGAAAAGATGCTAAAACTTTTGCGAAAAACTCATTTATTATGCATCTTAGCGACAATTTCGCATTTGGAGTTATCAATTACTGATACCTAAACACGATTTAGCGCCAATATTACCGGACAATCTCATTTTCGTGCACAAATAAGTGGTTTTGGAAAAGCGAATTTCAAAAGTTTGTAACTGTGTTTTGGCTTAATTTATGGACCATCCAGGATTTTTTTCGCTGAAAGTGTTGTTTAAAGTAAAACAAGAAAAACTAAAAATTCTGAGGACACGATCACCGGACACAATTTTTTCCTGACAAACTCCAGACCAGCAGAGTTTCTACAGTTTTGATCCAGACCAAATTGGAAACAACAAGCGCACATTCAATAAACCAACCCAAAACTCTCGTTTCATGATAAGGACGACATACTTTTTTAAAATTTTATTAGAAAACAAAAAGTATTCTCACTGAACATGGAAAATCGCTCAATGCCAGATTTTGTATTAATCCCGCACCCAAAAACCGTCAATAAACCGAAATCTCGCCGGATTAAATACGTAGAAAAATCAGGCAGTTGAGTGACTTTGTATGTTGGTGAAATGCGAACTTCACAAGCACTTTTAACTGGCGTGCAAGGTGGAAACACGAATTCACATACGCACAATCGCAAACACCGAATTCACCGAAAACACATTAAACACAATATTTTTATTACATCTGTGCCAGTCGACTTCCACCGATCGCGGTTTATAGCAAACTGGTCATGGGTATGGGTAAGCATTTAAAAATAAATAATTAAACAAAACCTAGAGAAGTCCAAACGCAGACATTCCAGCTGAGGCGATACAGTCGGATTGCATGTTGGGAGCTTAGCTCTAGTGTACAGGGTGAGCAAATGTTGACGCACCCTATAAAAGACGTGCCAATATCGCACTTTTTCCTTGGAAGCAATTACATAAACCAGGTAAAAACACTGTTACAATAAAAGTCTATGGCATATTTAGCGGGTTTACAGCTGACGAGCAGCAGGCCTTGTTTTGCCTTTATATGGGCGCGAAGCTGCATGGTTTTTTCCAACCGCTTCACCTTCGAAAAGCCCATTTCGGACTTTTATCTTACTCTAATATGTTCCCAATTGAACAACAGAAGAGACCACTCCGCTGATGTTTACCGAAAATTAGTCCAAATGACTCGGAATTCCGCCGTAATTTCTCGATTGTTTAACACTAATTAGTCGCGTTAGGCCTGATCTATGACTGGCGCGTTAGAGGAACATCGTCATTAAAGAACCGGTAATGAATGGAGAATTACCATTACGATATCGACTTCCTCTGCACAAAACAAGACTATGGGAGTTTACCTGTAGCTTGGCATCTCCTAGAGGTTGCGATATGGACAATGAGGAGGAACTTTGCGCCTCATCCAGGTCCAGGTCGGATGATCCCGAATTTAACGGATGGAAAACGCTGTCGTGCGATACGCTCAGCCCTGGGTGCATGTTGGTCGAGTTTCGTCCCTCATGATGGCTGAAATCAATTGCATCGCATAGTTTTGCGAAAAACTAAAATTGCTGTCGTCTTCCCACCTTCTTGGTGGCGATTCCTCGTCGATGGAAAGCTCCCCCGTAGACCTGCTACGGTTGCCATCTCCATCTCTTTGCTCCGGATGGTGCAGATGAACTACCGCTTCGTCGCCGGTTTTCTGCTTTTTCCTGAACCATTTCTTCGGGTTCCAGAACTTTCTTTTGGAGACAACTGAAAAAACAAAACCAGTCATCACTAACGCAATACAACGTCGAAACTATTAAGGAAAAATCACTGTTAGCGGATAGCAGGGCGTCGTTAAGAAGCCACTGTGCAATTAGCAGCTGAAGCCCCACGACTTCCGGTTGAACGATACGCGATAATTGAGTCTTTTCAGCTAAAATGCACTTGATCGAAATGAATGATTGGAGGCGCTGAGCCAGAAGAAGTGGCCAAACAGAGTACACTCGACAGGAATTGAACCCCATTGGAAAAACATAAATTAATCTGGCGAACAATTATTCACGCTGAAACAAACCCGGCTAACTTACAAGAGCTTAATAAAATAAAATGCCTCAACCACGACTAATTGGGCAAAATTT